CAGGAGAGAAACACGGAGCGGGAGAGAACCCGGGCACAGGTGACACTCGACAATTAGACCACCAGGGGCAACACCGACAGGGCAGAAACACAGGGAGAGGAGCACAACGACAAACACAGAGCAGCGAAAACATGACGGGAGAACGAACAGCAAAATAAACCAAAACTATGAACATACAAAACTAAAAGAGTGACATAACCACAGAATCGTAGACAGTGGTGCCACATGATAAGGGACATAATTCAGACGCGCACACCACAACCCCTTACGATGGACCTTTCCGGCGTTTTTGGAGCACGGGACAGAGCACCCTGGTGTCACCTGCGGTGGGCAAAACCGAGCACGTCCTCGTGGAACGGGTGAAGGCTGCCTCACTGGACTTAGACTCAGCCGGTGGTGCTGGCTCGACTTCCGACGGGGATCCCCCCCAGCTGTGACCCCTAATCAGCGGTTTAGGACTTTGTGTTTCCGGTCCCTCCTCTTTCCGGGGGCCGCCACAAGCGGATGCGCGTTTCCGACTCCCGCTGCTCAGGAGTCGTGGGGGTCGCGCGGTCGTCCTCCCGCCGCAGCAGACTTTGTTACATGTGAATTCTGGGGGGGCTTGTGTGGTGCCCACATAGATAGACATAATTCGACCTCAGGATATGTCTGCAACACGGCCCGTTTAGAGCGGGCACCGGAAGCTAGGTCCTTCATTGACTAGCTCTCCAATTGCAGTGAAGAGTACTGCTTACCTGTCCCTGAACTTTTCGTTTAATAAAGTGCTGGGTTCCATACTGAGCAACAGCCTCTCAGAATCGAAAGAGAAAAACCTATGGGAAAAACACAAAAGCATTGTACACAATTTAAACCAATAAATGTTGTATAATTAACAAGGATAAACTGATGTTTTTAGTTGATGAGTACTGCAGATATCACTGTTAAATCATTTGATCATGGTTTTATTATGAAAACGTTGAGACCGGAAATACTGTTTTCAACCCGTAACTTTACATGGAGGCTGCCGCATACCTCAAATCATCTTCGTAATATCTATCAAACTATAGATCCTACATATCGACTGGACGTGGATTCTAAAAGTACAATCTACACTTCTCGCTAGAAATCGAATCAAAAAGCGTTTTAATGGCCAAACTATCCTACAATTTAGGATTTTACAGAGAGGGTTATTTGTGAATGAACGACCATCTGTAACGTTAGCATTCAACGGGAGCACTAGAGTGCGAAAACTTTCAAACTTAATTATAGGACGTATTAAGCGCTTAAACAGACGACATATTTGGTCGTAATAATTGGGCCAGAACAATCGGCATATTTGGTCGTAATAATTGGGCCTGAACAATCGGCACATTTGGTCGTATGAGTTGGAGGACTTGTTGCCATGACATGGGACCTTTAATATTCAAAAAGCTCTTTATTTTTCTCATACTGCCTGTGCTGCAGCACCTATTTTCACCCTCTGTCTGAAACCAGAGACCAGTCTGCTCTGATTCGTTAGCTGGCTATCTCTTTTGTGATTGGTCAACCGCTTAGAGATGTGTCGGAAATGTCCATTTACAGTGGACCCTTAGACCATTTACATGCACAAAAACGTATATAACACACTACAGGAAAGGTCAAACCCAAAACATACCAGAATAGGTCCTCTTTAACGTAACACATAATGTGTTACTTTACTTTACAGTACTCTGTTACCTTCTGTTGTTACCCACCTTCTTCTCTGGGGTTTCCTCATTAAATGCAAGGGTAGCAGGGACAAGGTCGTCTAATGTCATCACATTGATCTTGAAGGCTGCAATAACACAAGATCATAACAGAAGTTTATACACAATTATATCAACTTTATTTAAAGGTGGGGTAGGTAATTCTCTTCAGAAACACTTTTTGTTATATTCCATTGAATGCTCTTAACATCCCAATAGCAATGAATATATTAAATGCTTTGACAATAAATACATAAAAATATTTCCTCTGTGGAAGCTGTGGCGCTGTAAAAAGCCTTTTCTGAATGCACCTGGGAAGCAAAACCTAGAAATTAATTGTAATGCAGAGCTAAAGAATGGTGCCTATACAGTATGTACCTTGTTTTCCATCTAGGATGCATGAGGTAAGGAGTAAAGAATAAAACATGATTAATAAACAAAAACACACACTAAGCATTTAGATATCAATTAAGCAGGAATAAGTCAGAAAATCCAGAAATGAGTCAGCATTTTAACAAGTCCGGTTCTCTTGTCTGGAAGTTAATGATTTCTTAACTAAATAAGGTTAACAGAAGCTAAACAGATTATCATGTTTTATTAGATGACATAAAATATGTCAGTAATTACTCTACCTTTAAATGTCCTAAAAACAGCAGTCGCTAACAAGTGGCTAAATGAGAAAACGTCATGACAGAACTTTAGCCACCTTTAGCTGATGTAGTTCCTTATAGCCTAACGTTAGCTTTTCACTTCTGGCGATGGCAGTTACGCTTCAAAAATCATAAAGTGGTGGTAATATGTGGATATTATCTTGCTTAAAAATACCTGAAACCTGAAGTATCACTTGTTTCTAAAATACTTTTGTTGGTTTATAGTGTCTTAATGGTCTTGGGCTTGGCTATTTGTCAGATATTGTTTTAACCAATGAACCCTCTAGAATCCTCAGATCTTCTACTAATGGTCTTTTAATTAAAACTAAAGTGAAAACAAAGAGTGTTCATACTTTTAAGAGCTGAGGGCCTAAGGTATTCAAAAAAAAAAAAATTTAAAACATGTTTTTTTTTTTAATATTTGTCATTAGTTTTACCAAAATAACTTCATTTAATTGTATTTAAAATAACATTTCCAACGAAATAAATCCTTCGAATCTGCCTATTCAGTTTCTGTTGGAATGTGAAGGGTTAAATGAAAGAAGCTCCTTTGGCCGTCTCTGCGAGGTGAAGACAGGAGCTGATTGGTGGTCCTGCTATGAATTCACAGAGGGCCAGCTATAGTAACTCGATGAGAGAGTAATGTCAAATGACAGTACAATTGACCAATCTCTAAATGGGTGGGCTTTGTTATCGCAGACTTTACGACAAGTTCAGCCCGCTGTGAAGTTTATGCAGGGGGGGCCTAGGTTTAAAAGTCACGTCTCGCCACTGGTTTGTATAAAATACAAAAGTCATGCGTTTCTTGTTATTTATCATCTTGGAAATGCCTCGAAATGTCATCGTTATTTTTGGTTTGTGTATGAAAAGTGCTTAATAAATCAAGTTTGATTTGATAAACGTGATCTTATTTTCTGCAATGTACCGACATCAAAATGGAATAATCTGGTTTGGGAGGGAACCCTTGTGATGCTCACATCTGGTTCGGCCTACAGAAACATCACGGCCCCGCTCTACAGACTCCTGATCTCAGTATCTGCAACACAAAGGGACTTCTCTCACCGTCAGAGGAAACTGCACTCATCTCGCTGTGGGGGTCCTCAGAGAACAGCTCCTCCAGGGAGAGCACCTCACCCCGGCCCGAAATGGAGGAGAGGGAGCATGGTAGACTCCCCCCTCTGTGAGGAGAGGGGGAGGGGGAGAGCAGGGAGGGGCTGAACTGGGCCTGAGCCTGACCGGTGAACCGGAAAGGAGAACCGCGGCGAGGAGGGGAGGCGGGGGAGGGAGGTTCTGGGAGGGAGGAGGATGAGGGAAAGACATATGGGGGGGGAGAAGGGGAGCGGCCCCTCTGACTGCTCCTGCTCAACATCTGTAAGAGAGGAAAACATCAAAGTGTTTTAAACAGAATAAGCTGTGTCGGTACATTAGTGTCACTTCTGTTTGTTACACATGATAAAAACACATTTGTTTGTGAGAAACGAATACGTTTTTGATGAACCAGAAATCGTTTGAGCTGTCTTTGATTCACAATTATGATATCTATTGTCCTATCATTGTATATAAGGTGCCAGAGGCTGTATAAAAGGCACAAAGGAACCTATAGAAGTTGTTAATTAAAAGATAAATAGAAGTTTCAAATGAGAAGTGGGGATCCCGTAAATCTGTATTTCACTCTGAAAGAGCTGTCATTTGCTTCTCATTCTCTCCCTGGTAGTCGTTGATTATGTGTATGAACTAGGGCTGCACGATATCGTGACGATAATCGCGATATGCGCATGCGCGATATTCATATCGCAGGACGTGCAATTTTTATTTTTTTAGGACTTGCAATATTAATTAGGCAAATTAACTCAAACACGTCATGTTACAATTATTTTGCCGCTTGCTACAAAAGGAAAACTTGCGCGGCTCTCATGTCAGGAGTACTTGAGTGTGTGACATGCAGGCTCTGCATGCACAGCAAACCACCAATCACAATCAAATCTCAAAAGCAAACGGATCCGGTGATCAAAGGTAAAAACACTGAATACAATAGTTTCATGTGTTTCTCCAGGGCAGTTCGGCGTTGCTAACCGAGCTAGCTCAGCTTGTTGCTCTGAAAACTTAAGATCCAGACGTCCGTGACTAAAATCCTTCATCCGGTTAAATATAGTTAAAAAATACCAATTGTATAGCATTAAAGTTGAAGAAAGGCTGGTTTGCGAAAAAAATACGTTATTTTCTTCAATTCCTGTATGTTTTCATATCGCAATATATATCAAGGGGGNTTTTTTGGTCCATCTGTGGCGGTAATAGGTTTTGTGCGCTATGAT